AAAGACCTTGATATAAACAAGAAGTACAGTGGTAGCCGCTTATTAGAATCACGGATAATGTTATCAATCGGATATTGTTATCACTTTTGCGAAGAACGGGCCGGACGTGTAATACTACATACAAAAATTTTCGCTTATAGTAATCATGATTTCGGTTTATGTTATCATTTTTTTCTTAGAAATGTTTTCGTCATGAGCAAAAATTGAAAAGGCAGCCGCACAACCCACCTATCGGTGAATCGCGAAACTCGGCATTTGAAAACTCGAACCCGGGACGCTCAGTTGTATACGTCTCAGTTCTATTCTAACCGCTTACAATGGCTGACGTAAAAAAGAGACGTGATCTTAGTTTAAGTGAAAAAATTAACATTTTAAAGCAATATGACAAGTTGCCGAAATTGAGTCAGCGAAATGCAGCAGCACAATTAAAAATCTCACAACCAATTTTGTGTAAAATTTTAAAAAAACGTGTGGAAATAGAAGACGCTGCTAAAAAAAATGAGAATTTACTCACTAAAAGAAATCGCACTGGGAAAGACGCTCAAGTGGAATCTGCGTTGAAACTGTGGTTTGCGAATGTCCGCGAACATGACGCACGTGTAAATGGCCCGTTGATGCGACAGAAAGCGGAAAAACTTGCAAATAAAATGGGAAAAGAAAATTTTGTTGCAACGGAGGGATGGTTTCACCGTTGGAAAAAAAGGGAAAACATCGTATACAAACGGACACACGGCGAGCAAAAAGATGCTGATTTTAAGAGTGCAGAACACTGGATTGAAAATGAATGGACCAAGATTGCTGGGGAATTTACTTCTAATGATATTTTTAATGCAGACGAGACTGGGCTTTACTATCGCGCTCTCCCCGATCATACATATATGTTTAAAAAAGACAACGCAAAGGGTTGTAAGACATCGAAAGAACGTATAACAATTTTGTGTTGTGCAAATATGTCGGGTGACAAAGAAAAGCTTTTAGTAATCGGCAAAAGCAAGAATCCACGTTGTTTTAAAAGTGTCAAAAATCTACCTGTTGATTATTATTCAAATACAAATGCCTGGATGACATCCTTAATTTTTAATGACTGGCTGTTAAAATGGGATAGGAGACTAAATCGCAAAATTGCTCTTCTCGTGGACAATTGCACTGCACACTGTGTAAATTGTCAATTAAAAAATATAAAAGTTATTTTTTTACCGGCCAATACTACTTCGATAATACAGCCGTGTGATCAAGGCATTATAAGGACCATGAAGGCGTATTACCGGAAAGAGATGCGTGCTAGAATTTTGGAAAGTGTGGAGGATACCCTAAATATGAGCGCAAATGAACTAGCCAAGAATACAAATTTACTAGACGCTTTACATCTCATTACCACGTCGTGGAACCAAGTTTCCAAAATAACAATTAAAAATTGTTTCAAACATGGTGGGTTTTCAAAAGATGACATAGAACCTGAACATCTAAACATTCAGCCATCCGACATGACGATAAGTGAGTTCGAGGAGTGGATGACAATAGATAACGACTTAAACGTTGCACAGAATGTAACAGAAGAAGACATTTGTGAAAGTGTAATGTGTAAAAGTGTAACAACGTCATCAATTGAAAATCAAGAGCCAGGGGAAGATGTAGATATACAAACAATGCAACCCCCAACAAATAGCGAAATGAGAAAAGCGCTGGAAGTTTTGCGGCGTGGTGTGCAGTACAGGTCATCTGATTTTCAGACGCATTACGACTATGAAATTTTCGTTAATAACTTGCTCCGCGAAAATCAGAGACAAACAACGCTGGATGAGTTTTTTTAATATGAATTTGTTTTTTATTTTATTTCAAATTTAAATGAAATACATATTATATGTACATAGTAATATTTTTACTTGTAGTAAGAGTTTATGTTACGTTATTATAGTTTGTTACGTTATATATTTTTAATTAAAAAAAAGTTTTGTTTTTTCGGCTATTATTATCAATCGGTTATTGTGATCAAAAACCCCAAGTCCCGTTGTGATCACATTAAGCGGCGTGCACTGTAATAATTTAAAGTTATGGTGGAGGCGCTGTACAATTTAATAATTTGTTTAAATTTAACGTAAATATATTTTATGCAAAAGGAAATTAAAAGGAGAAAATAAAAAAAACTTTAAAATGTGAATTTGACGTTTTCGGGGTTATGTCATATAAAATAAACTATTTTTGTTAAGAATAATTGAATCAACCTCAAGTAAAAGACGAATATTAATAAGTTATGTTAAAAACTAATTAAAAGTACATACCTTAAAAGAAATTATCGGAAAAAAGAAATATTTCTGCTTAAGAAATACAACTCGGGCCGTATCAAACTTCAAATGTCATTGCTGCCAACTTAAATTTGGAGAAAAAATTTGATTTAAACTTTTAATAATGTTTATAAATATTTAATAAACATTATTTATAAACTATTTGTGTTTAACGATTTAAAGTTTTGTTCCAAGTTAATCGACGAAGTTTTGACAGAAAAGATAACCTCACTTTTTCACTCCCTCAATTTAATCTGTTAGAGAATAACAGCTAAGAATCTATAGTTCCAACAAACGCAAGCTGATTTGGTGACAACTAAATAAACAATTAAAAAAGCATAACATTTTAACATTTAAAAGTCAATATATAGGGTGATTCGGGTGGAACTGGAAATATTTTAAGAACATGTCGAGGAATCAAAATTCCCTTCAATAAGTATTTCCTCCGGAATCTTTTCAAATGAATCAGCTCTTCAAAAGGAATGAAATCAAGTTACATAGCAACGTGACGTCAAAAAATTTGACTCATCAAAATATCAAATTTCTCAATATTATTTAATAAACATTTTAAATAAAGAAAAGAGAGCGAAAATAATCGGTTATAATGCTTCAATTTGAGGTTTTTGTGACAATTCTTTTGTGTCAAATGTCATTGCTGCCAACTTATTTTTTTTTAATAAAAGCCCAAGACCTTGATATAAACAAGAAATAATAATTTGAAGTTATGCTGGAGGTGCAGTACAATTTAATAATTTGTTTAAATTTAACGTAAATATATTTTATGTAAAAGAAAATTAAAAGGAGAAAATAAAAAAAAAATTTAAAATGTGAATTTGACGTTTTCGGGGTTATGTCATATAAAATAAACTATTTTTGTTAAGAATAATTGAATCAACCTCAACTAAAAGACAAATATTAATAAGTTATGTTAAAAACTAATTAAAAGTACATACCTTAAAAGAAATTATCGGAAAAAAGAAATATTTCTGCTTAAGAAACACAACTCGGGCCGTATCAAACTTCAAATGTCATTGTTGCCAACTTCAATTTGAATTTAAATAGAAGAAAAAATTTGATTTAAACTTTTAATAATGTTTATAAATATTTAATAAACATTATTTATAAACGTTTATAAACTATTTGTGTTTAACGATTTAAAGTTTTGTTCCAAGTTAATCGACGAAGTTTTGACAGAAAAGTTAACCTCACTTTTCGCTCTGTCAATTCAAAATATTTATGGATTTTCCGAATTAAATTAATATTTGATTAAAAATATCAAATGCAAGCAAGTTAAGTGTAAACCACTCCAGTTAATTTGCTTTGGAACACAGTAATTTTCGGATGAAAACAAATTTAATCTCCAACGGACGCAATCTGATTTGGTGGCAACTAAATAAATAATTATAAGAACAACATTTTAACATTTAAAAGTCAATATATTGGATGATTCGGGTGGAAATGGAAATATTTTAAGGATATGTCCAGGAATCAAAATTCCTTCCAAGGTATACAGGGTGTTTAAAAGGAATGGAATCATGTTACTTAGCAATGTGACGTCAAATCTTTTTTGACGTTTCTAATACTAAGAATTAAAGCAGTTAACCAAAAAATTTTACTCATAAAAATATCAGTTTTCTCAATATATAGAAAATAATAGAAATATTAGGATATTTAAAAATATCCTTATTAATAGTATCAAAGTAGGTAGCATGTTACAATGAATTCATTCATAAAAAAGAACACGTAGTAGGCTGTATCGTACGTACGCCTTTTGTTTATACGTTAGTAACTGATGAATGGCGTCAATTTTGAAAATGCGGTCGCCAAGGTAACGTAGTAACTCGCGACAGGGCGAGCGCAACGGGGGCGTGGTGGGGGTAACTTATAGATCCGCGTATATAAATTCGCGGGGTGAAAAATCTTCGGAAAATCGTCAGATTCGAACTGAAAATGGCCGTACAAACCCATATGATAGTAAAATACCCCGGTCGTAAAACCGTATCGTTTGAAAACGTTGCTAAAACAAAATCGATTTTATTACCTGGGGTAAATTAGCGGCGATTTGTCGCTGTAAAGAATCCCGTTCCTTTTCGACTTCGGCCAATTTAATTTCGGTATCCCCGAGACGATCTTGAGTCTCCCTCAAACTGTCCATTAATTTATCTCTTTCGTCCAGCATCGAGACCATCAGCTGCTCGAAGTTTGCGTCCTCCGTGGAGAACTGCGAGCTCCGCTGGCTGATGCTGTCCTCGGAGATGGTCGGCATCACGTCGCACATCATGTTCCACATTTTCCACGGGCGGTGTTCGACGAAAACGCGCGCCGAGAGTTAAAAAACGGGCGGCCCCCAACTAACCCCTAACGATGCAAAATGTCCACACGCCGTTCGTTACGGTCTAAGGGGCGGCGATTGCGCGGCCCTTGGGGCCGCATTCGCACGTGCACGCGTCCCGAAGACGACGGAAAATCGTCTGCAACGTCATAATCGCGGCCACAAGGCGACACACCTACGAAATTCCAGACCGCACAGGCCCTTCTTTAACGAAACCGTTCGTTACAGCCATTTTGAAACCGATGTCAAACACTCATACGGTCGGTAATACAGAAAACTTTTTTCGTTCTCTTATTATTTTTAATTTTATCCGCCGTTAATAGATGGCACTACTTAATTTTATTATTTAAAATTTATATTTTTATTTAAATTAAATTAAACAATGATTTAACTTCATATACATAAACATTTATTGGAAAAATAAGTATATAATTACTATCTGCATGATTATAAAGCTCTCATCCTATTTATCTAAATAATAATAATTTAACATCTTGTTATATAACATTTATAAACAAATTACGATTATTAATCAAAAAATTATGAACATAGCACGTAACATAAAAGGAAAAAAATAAATGGCAGTCGTCGATGAACACATGATTGTTATAAACTCGGTGGGCAGTGCGTAATAATTTCCATAATTAATTAATTTTAATAAAAATGTTGATAATAAATTCATCTAACTAATAACTAAAAACAAAAAAAAAACTATTCTTTAACGATTACATGCAGCTTTAAGTTCAACGGTTTTCCTATTCCCGGTGAAGTCGTGTCGTTTATGTCGCTTGGAACGCCTTCGATTTCCAAACGGAAGTTAGCCGGCTCTTTCAGCCGCTTCCGGAAACGTAACGCCCATATTTCGTTTTCGTTTACCATTTCGAATGTGTTTTTATCGTTTCCTTTAATTATCGAGTATTCAACATGACCCTAAATTACAAAATTAATTATTATTTGGACGTCGTTATATATACATCAATTGACTAAGCGACATTTTATTGTTTTTAGAGATTTTCATGCTGTATGGTAGGTAAATGTATAACTTATCTTAGAAAAAATGCAGAATACCGAAAAACCTAAAATACCATTTGTTTTAAAGAAGAAGTCTGTTTCTGAAGAAGCACGGCTAAACCTGATACTTTCTTGTTCTAGGTCTAGTGTTAGTTCTAGTTTTACACTAGCACTGTTACTAAAACTAGAACTAACACTATACGTAGAACTAGAATCATTTGGGTTTAGCCGCACGTCTCGAAAGACGGCTAAACCCGAATGATTCTAGTTCTAGGTATACTGTTAGTTCTAGTTTTACACTTGCACTATTACTAGAACTAACCCAAGACAAGAAGAGAAAAGAAACTCTCTAGAACTAACTATCACCGTTAATTTTATTATTATATTCGTAATCTTCATCAAATAACCTTTAAAATGAGTCCAAACTCGACATATTTAACTTTAATATTAATGGAAATACAATCACTTCCGGTTTGAAACGTCAACGTCAATTTTGACATATTTGTCATGTTCATTAAATAACCTTTAAAATGAGTCCAAACATGACGCACTTATCTCAAAAAACAAAAAAGTTAGAATAAAAACCATTATACCCGAAGTTAGCAACAATGAGGATAGCAATTTAATTTTTAAATATTAATACCAACCTCAATTTTTGATTTTTTTTATTATATTTTTGTTTTTGTGATAAATATTAAGACATTTTATAAAAATTAAGAATATGTCAAAATGACATTGACATTTCAAACCGGAAGTTGCTTATATCTCGAGTAATATTGGAATTAAACGTATCATGTTTGGACTCATTTTAAAGGATTTTTCACGACGATTACAAATATGTCAAAATTGACGTTGACATTCTTAACCGGAAGTTGACCATAACTTCATTAATATTGAAGATAAATGTGTCGTGTTTGTACTCATTTTAAAGGAGTTTTAATGAAGATTACAAATATATCAAAATTGAGGTTGACACATTAAACCGGAAGTTAGTTATCATATAATAGACAAATGGACAACTTCTTGGTGTTCTTTCATGTTGTATTCATTATTAAAAAATGTATAATAATTGTTATAAATGTATAATATAAAATGTAAATAATTCGTTTGACTAGTCTACTAGCCTTAAAGGCCTTATAGGCACCTTCAGAGACTTCGTTAAAAATGTGAAGCTACATCGGGTTAATAATGTCACTTTTAACACGTAGCGTGCTTGTCTTTACAAATTTTAAAGTTTAACTGATTTTTATAGTATATTTCGGAATTAAGAAGTGTTTTTCAACATGATCTGTCAATCTTATAATTGTTTTTTGATAACATGGATGTAACTTCACATTTTTAACGAAGTCTCTGAAGATGTCTGTAAGGCGAAACTAGTCAGAGGAATTATTAAATAAAATTTTTTCAACCAGTTAAAGTACATTGAAACTATTTGTTTTCTTAATCATTTACTTCTCCACTGGTTACATGGATTTAATCAATTTTAACTCTTATTATTAAAAAACCTTTAAAGTGAGTCTAAACATGACGCATTTATCTCAAAAAAACAAAAAGTTCGAACTTTCAACTATTAATTTTGACATATTTGTCAACTTCATAAAAAATCCTTTAAAATGAGTCCAAACTCGACATATTTAACTTTGATATTAATGGAAATACAATCACTTCCGGTTTGAAACGTCAACGTCAATTTTGACATATATGTCATCTTCATTAAAAATCCTTTAAAATGAGTCCAAACTCGACATATTTAACTTTAATATTAATGGAAATACAATCACTTCCGGTTTGAAACGTCAACGTCAATTTTGACATATTTGTCATCTTCATTAAAAAACCTTTAAAATGAGTCCAAACATGACGCACTTATCTCAAAAAACAAAAAAGTTAGAATAAAAAACATTAAACCCGAAGTTAGCAACAATGAAGATAGCAATTTAATTTTTAAATATTAATACCAACCTTAATTTTTATTTTTTTTTATTATATTTTTGTTTTTGTGACAAATATTAAGACATTTTATAAAAATTAAGAATATGTCAAAATGACATTGACATTTCAAACCGGAAGTTGCTTATATCTCGAGTAATATTGGAATTAAACGTATCATGTTTGGACTCATTTTAAAGGATTTTTCACGACGATTACAAATATGTCAAAATTGACGTTGACATTCTTAACCGGAAGTTGACCATAACTTCATTAATATTGAAGATAAATATGTCGTGTTTGTACTCATTTTAAAGGATTTTTAATGAAGATTACAAATATGTCAAAATTGAGGTTGACATTTTAAACCTGAAGTTAGTTATCATATAATAGAAGTTTTATAACGTGTTTTTTGGGTTTTTTAAGGTTTAACGATTTTTAAGTCACATGATGATTCTCGATTTTTTCCCAAGTTTCTTAATATTTCTTTTGTTAAAAAAGAGCGTTCTTAAATTGAGATGAAACCGAAAATCCCGTTTTTCTCAACATTATTCATTTGTCGCTTAGTCAAGTGATGCATAACGCGGACCATTTTAAATATCTTTTGATTTATTTATTATTAATTTACCTTAACAGCTGAAACTAATTTAATAATTTTCTTCTTATGCCTTGTTTGTTTCAAATTCAATTTAATTTTAAGTTCGTTTAAATCGGAATAATCTCCTATTTGCGTTGAAATATCCGTATAATTGTGCGATAATTGATAATAACTTCCGAACGTTTTAAAAGGATTCAAATTTTTAGTTTCTCTCCGACTTCGTCCATTTACTTTGCAAGAGAAACATCCTTCCGTTGAAATTATTTTACTTTTCGATCGTTGATCTTGAGTTGTTAATGGGTAAACTGGGACGTTTCCTAAATCGGGACCATAAGCACTTCCAGGTCCGATCGTTGCAACGCAATGACCTTGACCTATCGTTCGATAACCTTGGGGGCATCCACATAAAGCACCACCGGCGTGATCAAAACATCCAAATTGACACAATGAACCTACACAAGCAGGTCCCATCTAAAAATAATAAGAATCAATAATTAAATGATTTTAATTAAAGTTTTTTTTAAATCATTACTTGCGCGCAAGAATTAATATTTGAATCATATCGATACCCATCGGGACATCCACATCTATAACTTCCAGGCATGTTGGTACAACTAGAACTTCCGCAAGGTTTCGTGAGGCATTCGTCAACATCAATGCAATGATTATAATAATGATGTAATTTATATCCTTCGGGACATCCACATTGATAACCACCAATTAAGTTTTGACATCCTTCGGGGCATTTCTCATCGTCTCCATCGGCGCATTCATCCGCGTCGATACAAAACCGTCCGGTTGGATCCGCTTTAAATCCGCGTGGGCAAACACACCGGAAACTACCGACTGTATTTACACATTTACCCGGTTTAGGACAAACCCGATCGTTCGGGTCAAGACACTCATTAATATCCTGGCAATCATCACCGATTTGTTTGAATCCTTCGCGACATCCACAACTATAACTACCCTGAGTATTAATACATTCCTGTTGGCATACGTGATTATCGGTTGCGCATTCATCCAAATCCCTACAAGTCATTCCATCCATGTTTAATAAATAACCGGGTGGACATGAACAAACGAAACTTCCGGGTGTGTTTTGGCAATTATATTGGCACGGAGAAGGTGTTTGTCCACACTCGTTAATATCGGAGCATCTCGTTCCGCCGCCGTCCGATTTAAATCCGCGATTACAAACGCAACGATATGATCCCATTGTGTTGATGCATCTCCCATTGATGCATAAATCGGGTATTGTGGCGCATTCGTCGACGTCTTCACCAGTTGAAACGATCCCCGAATCCATGCACATGTCGTTGTATAGCGAAGAGAATTTCTGGGGGCAGAGTTCGCATTTTGCGCCCCAAGCTTCTCCGAGAGCACAACAACATTCCGCTTTTGTCATTGCTATCATTTCGCGGTGGTGAGGAGTGCATCTATCACCTCGAGTTAGTTTACGGAAGCAGAATTCTTTTCGTTTATCTAAAAAAAAAAAAAAATCAATATAATATAAAATAATTGTAGAAATTAAATTTAAATTTTAACTGTTAGATGGCGCCCTAATAATAATGCGCTTGCGTCGAGTAGTTCGAGCTTGGTCGTCATCAGGTGAACATCGTTGTTATAAAGCTGTCAATCTGTTTTTTTTTGTTAATATACGATTTTGATTATAAAAGTGTGTATCCTGGCAAAATATTCAAAGAAGTCTTTTCTACAGTTATCAGAAGTGGGATAAAGGACTGGAAATTAAGAATTTCGCTGTTCTAGAAGAAAGACCGACGCCATTTTGTGTGTATTTTCGGCGAGGTGCTAGAATAGGACAAAATCACAGTACGGAGAAGGAAGACACAACATCGAGCCGACGAGGTAGTTTGTATTGTGGATGGTAATCGGTGGATTCTACGAAAAGTCGATTTTATGAAATCTCAGAAAATGTTGACATTAGGAGAAATAGATTCATTGCTATTTAAGTTGATTCGGACGAATTTACAGCAAAATTGACGTTTGTAGAGGAAAATCTAAGTGTAGGTGACTTAACCTCAATTTGTAATCTTTTGTGTTTGGATTGCGGAGGGCATAAAACAGAGATAAGTAAACAGGGGCCGTAACTAAGGGGGGGGGGGCATAGTGGGGCAATACCCTACTTTAAAAAATGCCTGTAAAACTGTTTGTTCATTGTATGACATGATAAAAAAAATAATAATTTACTACTCGCGTAGCGACATCTAAACAATTCCGAAGTAATCACGGTTTGTCACAATCATACTAATTCTTTATTCAGCCCATAGATGGCAATTGAAGTATGTGTAGGAGCTGTGCCGGTATTGCAATCTGTGGTATGGGGAATCCCCATATAAACTAAAATAAGCAGATTAGAGATTATTTGTCTATAGTGTTGGTTAGTGTAGTGTAGGTAATTGTGTAATTGTTAGTTTATTGATGTGAACTGAAGATTAATTGATTGATTTTGCGATGGATATACGAACTTTCTTCAATGAACCACACTCCTCAAAACAGGTGCAAGCACAAGATACAATTGCTACTTCTAATCCTATGGAACTCAGTACAGGGTTGCTGAAACATGTTGGCAGTATTAGCCATGGTATTCCTTTTGATATTGCACAAATCGGAGAACCGGTAAAGCAAGTTATTTTAGACATATATCCCAAACAAAATAATAGGGACTTTATAGCGGACTGGTTCAAGCGATATAAATGGTTGCAGTATTCTGTGGGGAAAGATGCTGCGTTTTGGTATCCTTGCCAGCAATTTTTGCCTCATGTTAGCAAACAAACTTTTTACACTTCGACAGGTTTCAAAAACGCCACTGATGCAAAAACTGGTTTTCTGATATTTCGGATATATTGAATATCGACGTCTTTGACATAGTAGATCAATTAAATTTCGATATTGATCCTAAAATTGATTGGGAAAATAGAAAAAAATTAGAAAATTTGGTGCAGTTTTATCAGAAATATCAAAAACTTTCATCTCCTGAAACAAAATTTGAAATGAGAATTGTTATTGAACAGGAAAAGTCTCCTTTCTTTTTCGACCTAGACGTTTGTCGTTGTGAAAAGTCAGAAGTGAACAAAATTATTGATGACTTGTTAGATCAAGGAATAAGGAATTGTATTAGTAAATAAAAAACCTACTGGTTTAAGATGTAAACAAATGATCGTGTTAGGGATAAATTTCCACTTCCCTTAATAGATGACCAATGAGAAAATCTCACGGGTAAAAAGTAATTACCAAGTTAGATTTAAAAAATGCGTTTCATCATGTAAGTGTAGCAGAAGAATGTATAAAATTAACTTCATTTGTTACTCATAATGGTCAATTTGAATATGTTAAAATGCCATTTGGACTGAAAAATAGTCCAGTAACTTTTATGAGGTACATAAATATGATTTTTCAAGATCTTATAAATCGATATAAGGTGTGTGTTTACATCGATGATATTTTAATAGCTACAGAAGAAAGAGGAAAATTTAAAAATTTTGGAACATTTACTAACTTCAAAATAGGAGAAATGTTGTTTTTTTACAAAAAGAAATAACGTTCCTAGGCTATGTAATAAATAAGAAGGGTATGACTCCTAATTCAGATAATCTAAAGGCAGTGACTGATTTTGTAATGCCAACAAATAAAGTTTCCTTGGTTTGACCTCTTATTTTCGCAGGTTCATACAAAATTTAGCACTTATTTCAAAACCTTTATACAATTTATTAAGATAAGATGCAGTTTTTACATTTAGTGGTGATGAAGTTCAAGCTTTTGAGAAATTAAAACAGATGTTAGTGGAGAAACCGGTTTTGAGCATATATAATCCACATTTAGAGACTCAATTGCATTGTTACGCTTCATCACACGGATTTGGTGCCATTTTAATGCAAATGCAAAAAGACAATAAGTTTCACCTTATATTTTACTTTAGTAAACATACCACCGTTGAAATTATATTTTAACTATTAAGGTAAACCTCTTAGAATAATTTCGGACAGAGGAACATGTTTTTAAAAGGTTTGTGGACGAACATGTAAAAATTGCGACTGGCATGCCTCAAGCAAATGGCCAGATCGAAGTTATAAATAAATCTACGATATGGTCCAAAACTGTAGAAGAACCAAAAAACTGGTATAAAGTATTAACTAACGTAGAGTACGCTATAAATAATTCGGTAAATAGGTCTACAGGTGAAACTCCGAGTATGTTATTATTTGGTATACATCAAAGAGGAATAGTGCGTGATAATGTAAGACTACTGTTAGAAACTAAAGATATTCATGAGAGACATTTGAATCAAATTAGAGAGAAGGCATCTCAGAATATTGAGAAAATCAGGAATACAATAAAACTTACTATGATAAACATCATAAGAAACCACATATTTACAAGGTAGGAGATTGTGTCATGATAACAAATATCGATGTTACACCTGGCATAAATAAGAAATTGCTTCCTAAATACAAAGGTCCCTATATGTAATCAAACAAGTACTTGATAACGATTGATATGTGGTAACATACATTGAGAGTTTTCAAATTACACAGAAACCGTACGAAGGAATTGTATCTCCTAGTCGAATGAGACTATGATCGAACGATGATTTATAATTGATTTGATATTTGTTCATATTTAGTCTTATAATACACAATTTTGATTATAAAAGTGTGTATCCTGGCAAAAACCCCAAAGAAATCCTTTCTACATAATAAAAAAAATAATTACAAATTTCTTACCAATACACGATTTATGATCTCGATCGGGTTGATAACCATCCAAACAATCACACATGTAAGATCCAGGTAAATTCCTACAATATCCATTTGCGCAAACCCCCTCGATAGTTTGGCACTCGTTTATATCTCGGCAATCATCAACTCCAAGTACTTGGGAGTAACCTTCCGGACAAATACAAGTAAACGACCCAATTAAATTTTTGCACAAGAATTTGCAATTATTCGCAGGAGTGAGACACTCATCAACATCTTGACAATGTCGTCCATCCGGTGCTAAAGCATACCCATAGGGACAAATACACCGGAAAGACCCCGGCACATTATGACACCTAAACGCGCATTGATTACCAATTTCATGACACTCATTTACATCTTCACAACTTTGTAACGGCCCCGGAGCGAATCCATCGCTACAAGTACACTCAAACCCTCCGATAACGTTGACGCAAGTTCCGTTTCCGCAAACCCCTTTAGTTATTTCGCATTCGTTTTCATCGATGCAAGTTCTCCCCGATCCATCTAAAGTGTACCCCATTGGACATTCGCATCTATACGATCCATCCGTGTTGACGCAATCTCCACCGTCGCAAGCTCGCGGAATTAAAGCGCATTCATCGAGATCTTCGCCATTATCCATTCTGCCAGCACCCTCCGGGCATAATTTTTGATACTCAACGGAACCTTCTTGCGGACATCTCAAACAATAAACACCCCAGGCTTGTCCTCGGGAACAACAGCATTCTTTTAATGTTAACTTCATGTTTCCTCTTTGCGCTGCGCATTGATTTCCGCTAAAAACTTGGTCGAAACAAAAATCTTGTCGGACGTCGACGCATTTCATTTGGCGCGCGTTTAAGATGTAACCAGGGGGGCAAGTACAATAAGCTGCGCCATCGGTGTTGGTACATTCCCCGTTTTCACATGCTTCGGGATTTTCACATTCATCGATATCCTCGCACATATTAGTTATTGTGCTTAATTCGTAACCATCTGGGCAAGTACAAACGTACGATCCCATTACGTTTTGACATTTTCCTGGTGGTGGGCAAGTTCCGGGTACTTCCAAACATTCGTCGATGTCTTTGCAATTACGTCCATCTTCTGTAACTTTGTACCCAGTGGGGCATTCGCAAAGGAATGAACCCACCGTGTTTCGACACCTTCCATTTCGACACAAAAACGGCATCATGTGACATTCGTCGATATCAACGCAATTATTGTTTCTGCTGATTTTAAAGCCTGGATTACAAATGCATTTGTATGATCCGATCGTGTTGACGCAATTTCCATCGTTACAAGTATCCGGACGACGCGCGCACTCGTCAACGTCAATACAAGAATCTCTACTTTGGGTTAATGAAAATCCGGCTGGACAAACGCATTGGAAACTGCCCTGGAAGTTTTTGCATTCGCCATTAGCGCAAACTCCGGGTCTTTCTGTGCATTCATCGACGTCGACGCATTCCGTGTGAGTATCGCCGCGTTTATAACCTTCGGGACATTTGCATTCAAAGGATCCGGGGACGTTAACACATTGAGCGTTCGATGCGCATATTCCTAAAGCGCATTCGTTGATGTCCACGCAATGATGTGATGAAGTATCTTCGACGTAGCCCCTATAACAATCACAACGGAAACTTCCGGCTACGTTTACGCAAACTCCGTTTGAACATAGATTAGGCATTAAAGCGCATTCGTCGATATCTTCGAGGGTTTGATCGACCATTATTTGACCCGGACCTTCTCTACCGCATAAGTTTTTAAATTCAACTAAAAAATTACGAAATTATTTAAATTATTTGATGTAATCGATATTAATTTACGTGTATCCGGCGGCGGGCATGGTTCGCATGGTTGTCCCCATCCTTTCCCCATCGAACAACAACATAATTTTTTCGTTTGATTTTGCGACATGGGATGTGAACACCTCCAAGAACTATACTCGGTGTAGCAAAGGTCTTTTCTCATATCGACGCATTCTCTTCGACCCGGAAGCGGCATATATCCAGGTGGACAAATACAACGATAACTACCTTCTTCATTGTGACACTCCCCGATTTTACAAATGTTTGGGTCTTCGAGACACTCATCAACGTCAACGCATAAAACGGCGGATTCATCGAGACGAAAACCATCCGAACATGAACACATAAACGATCCAAAGGTGTTTGTACAATGACCGTTTTTACAAAGACCTTCAAGTTCTGCGCATTCATCGATGTCTTCTAAAACTACCTAAAATTAAAGAATTAATTACTTAAAGTTGAAATTGATGAATTAATTTTTTTTGTTACTGTATCATTATTAGGTCCATAACCTAATCCTCCGGGGCATAATTGTTCGTATTCTGGCGAATCTAATCTCGGGCAAAGTTCACAATTTGGCCCCCAACCTTTCCCAACGGTGCAACAACAAGAAGCTTTTGTGACATAATCCGCTGCTGGGATTGAACACCTCCCGTGATGATCAGCTTTTAAATAACACACCGATGTTCTTCGATCTAAAATAAATAATACAAAAAATTTCAACGAACCAAACAAAATTAATCAAAATTTACCAATACAAGCGTTCCCATCTGGAACCAATTCGTAATTTTGGGGACAAAAACATTCAAAGGACCCATCGGTATTGGCGCAAGTTCCATATCGACAAGCTTGAGGACTCTCACATTCATCTATATCAGTACAATTTCCTCCAGATAAATCTAATTTGTATCCATCATCACATTCACATTGGAACATCCCGAATGTGTTTTCACAACGTCCAAAAACGCATAAATTATTGAACATTTTACATTCATCGATATCTACAAAAAGACAAATTAACAACTTAACATGTTAAGTTAATTTTTTTTATTCACCTATACATTGTCGATCATCTTTTTCATCGGGATGCATAAAACCCATTTCACACTCACACCTAAACGACCCCGGATAATTTAAACACTGCCCATTATCACACAAAGTATGATCATTTCCGCACTCGTCGATATCAACGCAACTATACCCATCCCCTTTAAAACCCGCATCGCAAACGCATTTAAACGACCCCTCCGTATTAATACATTGCGCGTTTTGATCGCAACCGCCGTTATTTGTTAAACATTCGTTGATATCGCGGCAACTAACTCCGTTTCCTGTGAAACCATCGTGACAACGACATTGATAAGAACCCGGGTTGTTTAAGCAATCGGCGTTTGCGTGGCAATTATATGTTCCTAAGTAACATTCGTCTTCGTCTGTGCATGTTGGACCTTCGTCAGGTTTTACAGAGTAACCTTCTTCACAACGACACCAGAATGAACCTAAGGTGTTTACGCATTCTCCGCTACCGCATATGTTGGGGTTATGGCGACATTCATCAATATCTAAAAAAAAGTATATATATCAGTATATTTAAATATAAATATTAATATTTATTAATAGCATCTAATATAACATCTATCTATTAGTAGTAATTCTATTAGTAGTCTTACTCTTCTGTAAGAGTCATCAAAACATTTCAGCCAGAAAATGTACCAGACCAAGATGGGTTAATTGTTATTCAGTTAGATTGTTGTATATTTTTATCGAACTAAGAGTAGTTCTAAGGTCTAGTGTTAGTTCTAGTTTTAATTGTTATTCAGTTAGATTGTTGTATATTTTTATCGAACTAAGAGTAGTTCTAAGGTCTAGTGTTAGTTCTAGTGACACTGGTAGGTAATACTAAGTAGCATTAGATAACGTTAGGTTATTGTATATTTTTATTGAACTAAAACTAGAACTAACACTAGACCTAGAACTAGAATCATTCGGGTTTAGCCGTCTTTATGACGTGCGGCGAAACCCAAATGACTCTAGTTCTAGGTCTACATAGTAACAGTGTTAGTGTAAAACTAGAACTAACACTAGACCTAGAACTAGAATCATTTGGGAATGATTCTAGTTCTTGGTCTAACGCTGCATAACAAAGACCCGAAACTTTCTAGTTCTAGGTCTAGTGTTAGTTCTAGTTTTAATTGTTACTCAGTGCCAGATTGCTATATATTTTTATTGTACTAAAAGTGTAACTAACACTAGACCTAGAACTAGAATCAATTGGAATTTAGTCGTATTAAGAGACAAAATATCTTACATACATTTTCTATATTTTCCTCTTGTATATAATCACCTCTACAAAATTAATTAATGCAAGAAATTAAATTTAAACCCAACACATAATTTTTGACAGCTGACAGTTTCAAAAGATGTAAACAAAATTGTGACATTTGACGTTAGATGGCTCTCAACGTCTTTTCTAATTTATCATTTAAAAGTTAATAACAAATCGTTAATAATAATTTCTTTCGTTATATTTAATTAAGTTTAAAATTAATTACCCTTTTAAACCATAAATTATAATAAATTTATTTAATGCAAGAAATTAAATTTAAACCCAACACATTCTTTTTGACATCAAAAGATGTAAACAAAATTGTGACATTTGACGTTAGATGGCTCTCAACGCCTTCACTAATTTATCATTTAAAAATTAATAACAAATCATGAATAATAATTTCTTTGGTTATATTTAATTAAATTTAAAATTAATTACCCTTTTAAACCATAAATTATAATAAATTTATTTAATAATTAAAACCCATCGCTAATTTTATTTGACATATTGAAAAGATGTAAACAAAATTATGACATTTGACGTTAGATGGCTCTCAACGCCTTTTCTAATTTATCATTTAAAAGTTAATAACAAATCATTAATAATAATTTCTTTCGTTATATTTAATTACATTTAAAATTAATTACCCTTTTAAACCAAAAATTATACTAAATTTATTTAATCAAAAATCTAACCAAAAATAGTTTTGATATTTGTCGCTAGATGGCTCTCAAAATTGTTTTAATTTTTATATTATAATAAATGATTTATAACTATGCCAGGTTGTTCTAAATAATTACAAACTTGTTGGTGATCTTTGATATGATGTCTAAATGCTTAATATCTGGTTCGCAGCTATAAAAATTATTCAATATGATTAAAAACTGATAAGTATCATTGAAAACATATCTAAATGGTTAAAAACTAGCTGCTTAACACTGAGAACTTGTGTATATCATTTGAAATTGGTTCCTAGCTATGCCAGCTCTCCATAATTATTAAAAAACGCAACTAAGTGCATAGCATTTCGAATTTGTGTGGATTAAAATGATTTTTTTTGGCTATAATGGACACGATAAAATCCGTATTAATCCGGATCGTTATATTAAAATTAATTACCCTTTTAAACCATAAATTATAATAAATTTATTTAATAATTTAAAACCATCGCTTATTTTCTTTGACATATTGAAAAGATATAAACAAAATTGTGACATTTGACGTTAGATGGCTCTCAACGCCTTTTCTAATTTATCATTTAAAAGTTAATAACAAATCATTAATAATAATTACTTTCGTTATATTTAATTAAATTTAAAATTAATTACCCTTTTAAACCATAAATTATAATAAATTTATTTAATAATCGCTTTTACATATTCTAACCAAAAATAGTTTTGATATTTGTCGCTAGATGGCTCTCAAAATTGTTTTAAATTTTATATAATAATAATTAATACATATATTATTTAAAAAAAAATTGTAGTTCAAGAAGACGCACGGCTTAACCTGAATATTTCGAGTTCTAGGGCTAGTGTTAGTTCTAGTTTTAATTGTTATTTAGTGCCAGATTGTGGTATATCTTCATTGAAGTAAGAGTAGAATTAAAACTTGACCTAGAAGTAGAAACATTCTGGTTTAGCCGTATTAAGAGACACACGACTAAACCCAATGTTATTCGTTCTAGGTCTACTTCTAATGCTGGTATTAATTCTCTAAGAGACGTTAAACCAGAATGTATCTATTTCTAGGTCTAGTGCAGCAAATGTTACAATATGTATCCGAGAAAGTATTAAAATATCTTACACACATTTTCTATATGTTCCTTTTGTATATAATCACCTCTACAAAACGAATTAATGCAACAAATTAAATTTAAACCCAACACATTGTTTTTGACATTGACACGATGTAAAAAAATTGTGACATTTGACGTTAGATGGCTCTCGACGCCTTTTCTAATATATCATTTAAAAGTTAATTAATAATAATTTCTTTCGTTATATTAAAATTAATTATCCTTTTAAACCATAAATTATAATAAATTTATTTAATGCAAACAATTTAAATTTAAACCCAACACATTCTTTTTGACATAAAAAGATGTAAACAAAATTGTGACATTTGACTATAGATGGCTCTCAACGCCTTTTTTAATTTATCATTTAAAAGTTAATAACAAATCATTAATAATAATTTCTTTCATTATATTAAAATTAATTACCCTTTTAAACCATAAATTTATTTAATGCTAGAAATTAAATTTAAACACAACACATTCTTTTTGACATAAAAAGATGTAAACAAAATTGTGACATTTGACGTTAGATGGCTCTCAACGCCTTTTCTAATTAATCATATAAAAGTTAATTAATAATAATTTCTTTCGTTATATTAAAATTAATTACCCTTTTAAAATCTTTGAGCTAACTGAATATATCTACTAACAAAAATGTGGCTCAAGGTGAATAGACGCAGATGGAAAGCGATAATGTGAAAGTGTAACAAAGATAGACATAAAACGGTACTAAACAGACGGGCGCATGCGCACAAATGTGTCAAACCTCTTCCATTTGACGTTTATTGTTTTGTTGTGTCACAGCCAGTCACACCGTTATGTTTAAAAATGTATTGTTTCGTGTGCAAAGTTCGCGATAATACAGTTTCGCATCACCTGTAAGTATTATAAATGTTACTTCTAATTGATAGTTTTTTATCTTATAAATTAACACACGCCCATTATATGTCAGTACCTTTGATCAGTACGCTTCTATGTCTCGATGTCTATGTTTTATGTCTCAATCCATATTATATATAATCAAAGTTTAAAACTTTTTTAAACCATAAATTATAATAAATTTATTTAAATCAAGAAATTAAATTTAAACCCAATACATTATTTTTGACATAAAAAGATGTAAACAAAATTGTGACATTTGACGTGAGATGGCTCTCAACGCCTTTTCTAATTTATCATTTAAATGTTAATTAAATTAAATTAATTAAATTAAATTAATAAAATTTAAAATTAATTACCCTTTTAAACCATAAATTATAATAAATTTGTTTAATAATCGCTTTGACGTATTCTAACCAAAAAAAGTTTCGATATTTGTCGCTAGATGGCTCTCAAAATTGTTTTAATTTTAATTTTTATATTATAATAATAATAATATTAGGTACTTACCTAAACAAGAAAGATTTTCTGGTCCCGGTATTAAACCACCTTGACATTCACATCGATATTTTCCTTCTGTGTTTATGCATTTTCCCCCTCGACAAATCCTAGTGTTTTCTGCACACTCATCTATATCCGAACAAGTTTTTCCATCCAATAATAATTTGTATCCAGATCTAAAATTGATTATTACCTTAAATATAAGTAAATATGTTTTTTGTATTTACCCGCATGTACAAGAATAACTTCCTGGGGTGTTAACGCAAACATCATCACATGGTTCGTCATAACACTCATCGATATCTTCGCAATGCGTTTTTTGATCGTTTTGTTTAAAACCATCGTCACAAACGCATTGATATGTCCCCATCATGTTCTCGCAAACCCCATTTGAGCAAATTCCACTCGTTCTTGAACACTCATCGATGTCTTTGCAAGACGTTCCATCTGATGTTAATTCGTGCCCGGTTGGGCAAAGGCATTTAAATGATCCGTCTGTGTTTAAACAGTTCCCACCGCGGCATAAATTTGGATTTTCAAAACATTCATCGATGTCCATACAAATTTGCATCGGGGGGAGTGCTCGGAATCCTTCATCGCATTCGCATTTAAAATCACCGGGAAGATTTTTGCAAGTTCCACTTCCGCAAACGTTGCTCGTTGTGATTGAGCACTCGTCGATATCGACGCATTTAATTTTGTTATCATCCAAATCGTATCCTTTGTTACATTTACAATTATAACCGCCGATTGTGTTTTTGCATCTTCCGTTTTCGCATAAACCGTTAAATTCTGTACACTCATTGATGTCTTTGCGATCAACGTAACCGATTCCTCGGGTGCATAAATCGGAGAATTGGGTGGTTCCAGGTCGGGGGCATGGTTCGCATTTATCTCCCCATGCTTTTCCTATTGTTGAGCAACAACAAAGATTTTTTCGGAATAATCCGTCGATTGCGTGCGAACATTTTCCGTGTTTATGACGTGCGTAACATTTTTCTTCTCTTATATCGAGGCAAGTTGTGCGAGATTCATCTAAAGTTAATCCGGGTGGGCAAGAACAAGTAAAACTTCCGTCTGTGTTAACGCAAGTTCCACCTCCTCCGCAAATATCGGGGTTTAAATCGCATTCGTTGATGTCGCTGCATGTTTTTCCATCGATTTTAGCGTAACCTCGCTCACATTCGCATTCGTTTCGATTGCAACGTTCGCAGGGACTTCCCCAAGCGACGCCAACCGAACAACAACATTCAGCTCGTTTACTTAATTGTGGTAAATTATTTTCGCAACGTCCTTGAACCATTCGGCTCCAACAACTTCCTTTGCGATTATCAATACAAATCCTTCCTGTTGTATCTAAAACGCTTCCCGGGTCGCATTCGCATCTGTAAGATCCTTGAGTGTTAACACATTCCCCGTTAAAACAAGCTTCTGGTCCTAATTCTCTACACTCATCGATGTCTTCGCAGACGTACGTTTGATGGTTAAGTTGAGTACCGGAAGGACAAACGCATTGGAAACTTCCGGGGGTGTTTCGACATTGTCCCCCGCTACAAACCGATTCTTCTTCTTCGCATTCATCGATGTCGGTGCAAACTTTCCCGGTTTCGTCCGCTTTAAAACCAACGTTACAAATACATTTATAGGTTCCAATTAAATTTTCGCAAGCTCCGTTCGGGCAAACGTTCGGATTTAAAGAGCATTCGTTGATGTCGTTTCCCCCGAAATTATTTCCGGGGCCGAATGGACACAATCGATCGAATTCTGTTGTTCCAGGCATCGGGCAAGGTTCACATCCGGTTCCCCAACCCATCGGTTGCCCCGTTATGATGGTACAACAACAACAACTCGATTTCGTCACGGCTGTTGTTGACGGATTTAAACATTGCCCGGCTCGATAAACTTGGTAACAAAGATCTCGGCGAGTATCCAAACAAGAGCGACCATCAGGTCCTAAATCAAATCCGGGGTGGCAAGTGCAACGAAAACTTCCTTCGGTGTTTGTACAAGTTCCATGAGCGCAAGGATTTGAGATGCACTCGTTTAAGTCGATGCAGCGTTTATTATCGGGGGTTGTTGTGTATCCGGTGTCGCAAACGCAACGGAATGTTCCTTCTACATTAACACATCTAAAAAGGAAAAAAGATGTGATGTAATGATGGTTATTAATGTACCAAGTCGGTAAAGTGATTCTTTATGTATACAACATTTTATCGCCAACCGCAAACTTTAAAGATATGAAGATTTTGTGACTTATTAGTGATGTTACATACAGTGTGTTAATTAATAATGATCAACAAACTAAACCTCGTCCAAGTTAACTCCAACAGCTTCATTCCCAAAATCCAGGAGATCACCGAATTCCTTAATCGTCTCAAAGTAAACATTCTACTTGTTAATGAGAATGAGACAAAACTAATACCTGCAAACAAGATTACCATCCCAGGTTAAGTTATTACTCGGACCATCATCGATATCGCCATTATCAACCAAAAAACGTCCACAATATCTCCGAACCCTGTCTTCTATAAAATCGGTGTCCTTTTAAAATTCTTATTTATTCCAGAACATGACCTAAATGGCATGTTAAATTTGAATTTTTGATCTCTTTTTTAAGTCCAGATGCTTTAAACTGTTGTGGTGGTTTTATTTATGGCAGCTTTTGGATCAACATTTCTCAACTCTTTCACTTTTGGGCTTAGATGCGTAGATATTGAGAAAAATACCAAGATATAAAAATTTGATGATTTTGTTGTTTCTTGCAAGCTGTTAATGGTTACAATCGAGAATCGGAGCATGTTACAAAAATACTTTTAGAACAAAAGTTGTAGCAAATTTTATTCTTAATCATATTGCTCTTTTGCACTTTTGCTCTCAGATGAGTAAATATCGAGAAAAATACGAAAATATGAAAATTTGATGAATTTCGTTCTTTTACTAATTGCTAATGGTAACAATCGAGAATCGGAGCATATTACAAAAAAACTTTTATTACAAAAGTTGTAGCAAATTTTATTGTTAACAATATTGCTCTTTTTCACTTTTGCTCTCAGATGAGTAAATATTGAGGAAAATACGAAAATTTGATAAATTTCATTGTTTTACTAGTTGCTAATGATAATACTCAGGAATCGGAGCATATTACAAAAACACTTTTAGAACAAAAGTTGTAGCAAATTTTATTCCTAACAATATTGCTCTTTTGCACTCTTGCTCTCAGATGAGTAAATATCGAGAAAAATACGAAAATATAAAACTTTGATGAATTTCGTTGTTTCTTGCAAGCTGCTAATGCTAACAATCGAGAATCGGAGCATATTACAAAAACACTTTTAGAACAAAAGTTGTAGCAAATTTTATTATTAACAATATTGCTCTTTTGTACTTTTGCTCTCAGATGAGTAAATATCGAGAAAAATGCGAAAATATGAAAATTTGATGAATTTCGTTGTTTTACTAGTTACTAATGGTAACAATCGAGAATCGGAGCATATTACAAAAAAACTTTTAGGACAAAAGTTGTAGCAAATTTTATTGTTAACAATATTGCTCTTTTGCACTTTTGCTCTCAGATGAGTAAATATCGAGAAAAATATGAAAATTTGATGAATTTCATTGTTTTACTAGTTGCTAATAGTAACACTCGGGAATCGGAGCATATTACAAAAAAACTTTTAGAACAATAGTTGTAGCAAATTTTATTCGTAACAATATTGCTCTTTTGCACTTTTGCTCTCAGATGAGTAAATATTGAGAAAAATACGAAAATATGAAAATTTGATGAATTTGTTGTTTCCTGCAAGCTGTTAATGGTAACAATCGAGAATCGGAGCATATTACAAAAAAACTTTTACAACAAAAGTTGTAGCAAATTTTATTCTTAACAATATTGCTCTTTTGCACTTTTGCTCTCAGATGAGTAAATATCGAAAAAAATATGAAAATTTGATGAATTTCGTTGTTTTACTAGTTGCTAATGGTAACACTAGGGAATCGGAGCATATTACAAAAACACTTTTAGAACAAAAGTTGTAGCAAATTTTATTCTTAATAATATTGCTCTTTTGCACTTTTGCTCTCAGATGATTAAATATCGAGAAAAATACGAAAATATGAAAATTTGATTAATTTCGTTGTTTTACTAGTTGCTAATGATAACATTCGGGAATCGGAGTATATTACAAAAAAACTTTTAGAACAAAAGTTGTAGCAAATTTTATTCTTAACAATATTGTTCTTTTGCACTCTTGCTCTCAGATGAGTAAATATCGAGAAAAATACGAAAATTTGAAAATTTAATGAATTTCGTTCTTTTACTAGTTGCTAATGGTAACACTCGGGAATTGGAGCATATTACAAACACACTTTTAGAACATAAGTTGTAGCAAATTTTATTATTAACAATATTGCTCTTTTGCACTTTTGCTCTCAGATGAGTAAATATCGAGAAAAATACGAAAATATGAAAATTTTATGAATTTGTTGTTTCTTGCAAGCTGCTAATGGTAACAATCGAGAATCGGAGCATATTACAAAAACACTTTAAGAACAATAGTTGTAGCAAATTTTATTGTTAACAATATTGCTCTTTTGCACTGTTGCTCTCAGATGAGTAAATATCGAGAAAAATACGAAAATATGAAAATTTGATGAATTTCGTTGTTTTACTAGTTGCTAATGGTAACAATCGAGCATATTACAAAAAAACTTTTAGTACAAAAGTTGTACCAAATTTTATTACTAACAATATTGCTCTTATGTACTTTTGCTCTCAGATGAGTAGATATCGAGAAAAATACGAAAATATGAAAATGTGATGAATTTCGTTGTTTTACTAGTTGCTACTTAACAATCGAGAATCGGAGCGTATTACAAAAATATTTTTAGAACAAAAGTTGTAGCAAATTTTATTAGTAACAATATTGCTCTTTTGTACTTTTGCTCTCAGATGAGTAAATATCGAGAAAAATACGAAAATATGAAAATTTGATGAATTTCGTTGTTTTACTAGTTGCTAATGGTAACAATCGAGAATCGGAGCATATTACAAAAAAACTTTTAGAACAAAAGTTGTAGCAAATTTTATTCTTAACAATATTGCTCTTTTGCACTTTTGCTATTACAGATTAGCTAACTAGTTCTTATTCAAGCAAACCATCAATGAGACAGTTCCTAATAAATAAGCTCCCTTTTTTCTTATGGCGCTACAACCTAAACTGGAGCTTGGACCTGTCTATCTCTTACAGTCCTGCTGTACGCTCGAATACCGAGAAGAGTACTTTGAGGATCGAGCGTATATTTCATCCTCTCAACGTTTCTGGGACTTTTCTCGTACATTCGGCTGTCCAAGATCCACTTTAGTAACCTATTTTCCTCCATTTTCGCCACATATCCTGCCCTCTATAACCATCGTAAATCTGATAGATTCTGAAAGTGGCGATTCTTTAAATAGATTGTACAGTTGGTGATTAAATTTGAGTCTCCAAACGTTATTGTCCTTAATTGGTCCTATTATATTATCTTTTTCGAAACCCTTCTTGCGAACCCATTCAGTACATGTTTTTTTTCCTTTCCGTCATAGTCCACGCCTTACTTCTACAGCGTGCAATAGGACTTATTAATGTTGTGTAAAGTCGTAGGTTCTTATTACACAAGTGCATACCTAATCATCAATTCGAATCACTAATAGCATAGATAACTTCAACACACGCTCATACACTGTGTTAGTATCCCTACATTTCGAAAAGGATAGATCCAAGGGGTTGACAAAAAGCTAACATTCAAAAAATACATCACCAAATCCATACTCGAAGCCTTCTCCATAACAACATTTATCCCTATTCTTGAGGAACACTTATTCCTCGAATGAGTGCTTTAAGTGTTATGAAACGTGTTTTTTATGCTTTTTTTTTGTAATTCGCGTTTTTATCTTTTTTTTATCTCAAAAATAAAATAAATTTTGACAATGTAGGGAAATAGGTATGTAGCAGTTGGTAACACTTGAAAATAGAAATTTGAATTGACAATTAGAAACTGTCAAAACACAAAATGTATTCACCTGACAAAAATGTTTCATGTACACCTCCCAGAATAAGAGAAATTGCTCAGAGTTCAATGACCTCATCATTGTGGACCTTGTATTCGATGCTAAGAACGTGTTTAAACATCCACATTGTCACATTGACAACTAGAAAAATTAATGACCCAATGTCACCAACTTGAACTGGTTCCATAAAATGTTACTAAAATCTCATTACAGCATCGGATGCTGTAAAGAGTCTCATTACAGCACCCGTTTGAGTACTGTAATAGCTTTCATTACCATCGCGACTTACAAAAAATACATTAATATGTTTTTGCTGCTGGTTGGCGATAAAAGAAATTTTTAATTTATTACTTTCCGTGTCCGCAAACGTTAGCACTACCATCGCATTCATTTATGTCACTACAAAAAGTTTTATCAGCTGATTCAACGAAACCAGGTGCGCATTCGCATGTGTATGATCCCGGTGTGTTCACGCATCTCCCATGTAAGCATATTCTTGGGTTTTCAGCGCACTCATCAATATCTAAAAATAAACAATAAATTACAACTTGATCATTAACACATTTAATACATTTACCTTGACAAGCATACCCAGTTTGAGATAATTTAAACCCACTCTTACACTGACACTTAAAACTACCATCCATATTAATACAAATCCCATTTGTGCACATCCCAATCTCTTCGCACTCATTATGATCGGTACATTCACTCCCATCGGGTGAAATATCAAATCCTTGAGGACACCGACAATCAAAACTTCCAATGGTATTCGTGCAATGCCCGTTGGTGCATTTTCCTTCTTGACATTCATCGTAATCTTCGCATTCCTTATTAGGCCCGGTTGATCTAAACCCAATTTTGCAATTACATTTATAACTTTCTTCCGTGTCGACGCAAATTCCGTTGTGGCCGCAAATATCGGGTCTTAAAACACACTCGTTTATTCGAATGGTGCTCGGGATGTTACTAGTTCCGTTTGGTAAAAGATGTGATGCTGGTTTATCGACGGCGCATAACGATCTGTGTTCATCTTCGCCGTGTTGAGGACATCTCGAGCAATCTTCACCCCAACCTTGTCCCATGTTGACTCCGCAACAACAATCTTTTTTTGATAATCGCATGGGTAAACGTTGCGAGCAACGCCCTTCGAATCGATTCGCGTAACAATATCCTTGTCGTCCATCTAAAAATGAGTTATTTAATGATTTTCTTTAAGTTAATTATTTTTCTTACCAATGCAGTACGTTCTATCTTGGCTTTGAATAAATCCTGGATTACAAACGCAAACGTAACCACCGATTTGATTGACGCAATATCCGTTTTCGCAAATTCCTGCGTCTAAACACTCGTCGCGATCATCGCATTTATTGGTTGCGACGTTTCTTGCCTGACCTCTTGGACATTCGCAATCGAAAGAACCTATTGAATTGACGCATCTTCCACCGGAACATAAATAAGGGATAGCTTCGCATTCGTTGATGTCTAATTTAAAAAGAAAAGAATTTTTTATTGGTGTGATCAAAATAGTAGCTCTTTTAGGTGTTGGACACTGCAGATAATGATCAAGTTCAACCCCAATAGGACTCTTTTTATTCAATACAACTTTATTTATAATCAGTAGAGCTTGGATTTTTATGGATATATAAATATGCAAGCTTTTTATTCAAAATATGTAAAAAATATGCAAAAATATGTGGAAATGCACCTTTCTTATAGTTGTCATCAATCTATTTATCACATTTTTGTATATGTTTTACACTTTTCACATGTTGTTCTATTTATTTTCTTCCTCTCACACGTTATCTTAAAAAAGAATAATTAAAAAAGTTAGCCATAGATACTCTAAGGCCCACTTTTACCACCTCTTGATAAATTTATCCGATAGATAAATCCAGCTCTTAGCCAATGAGAGTGCTTAAAACCGCCGTAACCATGGCAACCATCCTCTAGATAGTTTATTAGGAGGATAGTAAAAGTGGGCCTAAGAGATGAAAATTTAGTTTTGAGACTATAAAACAGGTTGGTATTTTTCATTGCCGAAGATGGGACATCAAATTTAATATAGTTTTATTTACCTTTAATTTAAGTTAACCATTTTTTTTAACTCCTATTGTAAAAGTCTATGAGACATACAATTTCGGAACAAACCATTGGCAACTCCTTTGAAAACTCTAATTTTTAACTTAAATCTTTAGCTAAAACGCTACGACATAATTTTTAAAAAAAAACTTTGGCACAAGTTTTATAAAATAATTCCTCATTATTTAAATTTAGTTCGGGATAACTTTTTATCCACTGGGACACAAAACACGATATCACTTTAGGCATTGGTGTTATAGATTGGTAACTACCACAGTAACTATAGTTGGGGATTTCCTTAAATTTAAACTCAACAGCGTTAGGGATTCCCCGCATGTTTCTGTGAATCGTTGTAAACAAGAAACGAACCCGCAATCAAAAAATATCCTGTATTAATTGTGCTTTAAAGTAAAAGGTATGTTCGCATATTTAAAAATCAGGCAGTCATTATATTTATTTTATTAAGCAACAAGAAACAAATCTAGTAAAATGACGAAATATGCAAAAATATGCAATTTTTTTATTGTACCATCTGCCTTATTTTAATTTAATTCGCCCAGAAACCAATTTAAAAAAAAATATTCCAGAAAATAAAGAAGATGCGTTTTGCATAAAATCCGAGCCCTAATAATCAGGTTTGATGTATAAAATCTCTTGTTGCAGTTTCGTCTAGTTTTCTTCTCTTCGCTTGTAATTCATCATCACATTCATTAAAAATTTTAATTTTTTAATTTTAAAAATTCGTATAAAATCCA